TCATCTTAAAGTGGCCAAGTTTGGACAACACTGCCATAAACTATATTTTGTAAACTGCAATGGCTGGTTCCACACCACAGCCAAATACACATTACAGTTTGGTGCAATGTGTGAACCCAACCAAGGCTACTGATCAACCTTTTGTTGCAGATTCTCTTGATCTGCTTGAGAGTAAGCTTTCAGCCAGGTCCCTTGAAACTGGGCCAGCCATTAAGAAGAGTCTTCCACCAGATAGTTTGGCACCAAAACAAAGGACCACTTGAAATTCGCATCCTTTAATGAATGGTCAGTGATATCTTTGAGCTGGTTCTGTAGAATACAATTAAACAATATACTTCAGGTTCTTCCCAAGGGGGGGGGACCAAAATCTACCCACCCCCTCCTGTGTGTCATTTCCTTTCACTGAGATCCCATTACTGTCTTCGGCGCTCATACTGTTCCACTCCACTGCAGATCCAGGTCTGAGGCGTAAAAAATAACAAAATTCCCTTGATGCACCCGTGATGTGTGATTGTTTCTTTCAAAAATAACCAAAAAAATAATAATAATTGGGTAAACCCAACGGCTTTCCAGGCACCACTTCAAGAGGAAAAAGTCGAATGTTCCTGTAGGAGTCTTTAATACACCTTATTTGTCTTGGCGGGTTCCCCCTTCTTCGGCCGCAATCATACAGCGTAGAGTTCATACACCTTCTTTACACAGTACACCAGGGCAGCCAGAGCTATTGTGTTGTGCAGTCTCTTCCTGTGCAGGTCGTCCTTCCTCACTAGCACGACCGGGGTGGAAGTGGTCAGCGTGTGCAAGGGCAGGCGGGAGAGTTTATAGGCGTTGTACTCCACCTGATACTTGCAGCAGGGGTCAAATTGCCAAGAGATCCCATAGAGAGTGCAGCAGGCAACGCTCAGCACGCCGGCTGGCAGAGAGATGTAGTGGGAATAATCCATGGGAAGAGCCAGAGGGGTGAAGAGGCAGGCCGTGCCAGCCAGCACCGCCGTCTTGTGCAGGCAGTTCCCAACCGTGATCCAACGGGCAGTCTCGTCCCCAATGCGCGTTGGCTCAATCACTATGTACTTGTACTGAGCTTCCAACGCTTGTTCCAGCTCGTATTCAAACTGGTCCTGAGCGTTCTCCCCGTTGTAGATTTCATGAACGATGTAACAGTCCGTGGCAGACAAGGAGACCCTGTTGAAAGGAAGGCAGAGTTACTTAGAGGGGTGTGTGCACAGGCCTCCCCCTCTGCTCTTCTCTTTGGTGCGACTTGGGAGCCCTTGGCCTTCTCAGGCCAGCGTGTGAGCCAATCTTTCCCACCTCGGCACCATAAAAATGGGCCAACTTCAACCCCCAGACTGCTCTAGCCAGCTCTGGCTCGGGCTGAGAATTCTGGAAGCCACGATTGGAGAGATCGGTCTGGGTCCTTCTGGGCCCTCCACGACAACCCCCAGGGCTGTTCAGAGGAATCCAAAACTGTGCTCAGAACTGTCTGACAAAATGCCAAACGGCCATAATTCTGTCGACTGAGTAGCTTGTGACTCTCACATTTCGGCACTAAAGAGCAAACAATGACAAGCACAGTAGTCTCTGGAGCTTTGTTGTGGATATTCTAATGTTTAATTTATGAGCCGTCTGGTCAAATGTGAAGATCCTGGATGCCACTATTAATTGCTGGGAGGAATCAAAATGAATTAAATGGAAACATTAACGAGAGAGAGAGAGTTGAAAGATTGGCTAGCTTGTCTCGTGGAGGGTTGGGAAACCTCATTGCTTCAATGACTATCAGGCAACTGGAAAGTAACTTCAAAACTTTGAGGAGCAATGTTGCCTACTAGAACCTGTGAAATGGTGGACCGTGCATGTCTCAAGACTTTGATAATGCAAGACTAGCTCCCAGCTCTTCACTCTGGCCTTCCATTGAACATGTCAGCAAAAGACAAAGCCTTCGCTGGATGACCTCAAATCAGACTCTACTCCCAGAGAACAAGGGAGTCAAGTATTTTGCTAGCACTGTGCTGGGTATACAAAGCAGGCTGATCAACTTAGCACAGTTTAAAGTCACCATGTCGGGGAAAAGCTTTTCGCAAAACCTAAGCAATACCACACAGACAGAAAGGGCACTTTTGTTCACTCCAGGATGTGGCAGACCTTTGGAGCAGCACATTCATTCTCTGGAGCTTCATGTCAATAACAAAAGTGGGCTTTGGATTTCATGGTATTTGTTTAGCGTCTGTCTCGAATGTTTGCATCAGTAATACAGGGATGGACAGTGTGAACTTTAGGGATTTGACCAAATATCTTCCCTGTGACAATCCCCAGGGTAGCAGAGAAGGATCTATAGAGGCTATTTATACCTATGGGAAGAGAAACACGAGCAGGGACGAAGGTAATTTATGTACATTACGGGCTTTCAATGACATCTGGTGGGGAACAGAATGCTGTCCTACATGAATTTTGGCTTGATCCCACCCAGCTGTTACAACGGCCTTAGGAGCAACTTTAATAACGTTATATTCATTGGTTGGGGTGTCCCAAAGTTGTCAGAGAATTCTACCCCTCTCAGAAAGCTGAAGGATGGTTGAAATCCTGCATTTGAAATCATCAATTCCTCAATTAGCCCAAGTGAAAGTAGAGTTGGTGAACCAGGATGCTGTCTATAAACATTTCACCACCGTCTCACAGTTGATTTGATGTGGGAATGGGAATGATAAATCCCAGGATTCTAAATGTTAAGATCACACTGTTTGCTTAGAATGTATGGACACACAGAGAGAAGGATAATTCTTAAAAATCTAAAACAGTGTTTCTCAACCTTGGCAACTTTAAGATGTGTGGACTTCAACTCCCAGAATTCTGGCTGGGAAATTCTGGGAGTTGAAGTCCACACATCT